ACAAAATCACGCGACATAACAGCCAGCATCCATAAAAATGTGATTGCAGGAGCCTTCTCCCTGTTACAGCAGGCTCTCCTTTGCAAGCCAGGTCTCATTCTGCTTATGAGACTGGTCATGCAACCGGTTTGTTTGTTTATATATTTAAAATATGTTTAACCTGCCTTTCTCCTTAAGAAGGATTCAGGGTGGCTTACAACCAATAAAGGACAGTATTTAGTAACAATACGCATACAATACTAAAAGGATCAATGAATATAATACCAAAACACATAAAGAGATCACCAAAATACATTAAATGAAGTAAGGTACAACAATCCATTTTTTAAAAACCCCATTCGGCAGCCATTCACTGAGGGAAAGTTTGCCTGAAGAGAATAATGCTCATGCAATTATTCTCACATTATAATAGGATACTGGCCATTGCGCTAGCTTTTTGGCATTTCAAACACTGGAATACATATATATTCACAGATGAATAGCACTAGTCACATGATAGTCCTAGAATCCCATCACTAGTGTAGTCAATGGCCAAGCTGCCTGGGATTTAACACATTTCACATTATTCCCCCTCCTGTTCCACAGCCCCAGGACAAAGTATCTCCCTGGGGACCCATGAAAGCTGAGGGCCTTTAAGAAGCCTTTTATTGCCCTGAAACAGCTGTGGCATGGCTATTGCAGAACAAGATTTCAGTCACCATTAGGAGCTTGGAAAATAAAAAGTATAGGTACAAATACAGCTCCATCTCTATATCCATAAACTAGACTTCTATAAATATTTCCATTTATCAAATGGGGACATAAAAGGACAAAATAAGATTTCTATGCTCAGATATTAAATCTGAGAAAAGTACAAATAGCCCATTTTGTTTCTCTGCACATTTAAACTTAAAACTGCCTGTCTCATTAACACAAATAACTTTCCTTGTAGGCTAGAACCCTATGCCCATTTCCTTAGTACAGCACTCACTAAACTCAACAGGAATTATTTCCCCAAAAAATGTATAAAATTGCACTGTTAGCTGCTCTTTTGAAAAGCTGCCCTAGCTCCACAATATCCGTCTATTTATTTTTACATTTCTAGACTGCCTTTTGGCTATAGGGCCTTATTGCAGCTGACACAGATAATAAAGTACAGCTGTAAAAATAATAATGGATAGAAATAAAATTGAATGCTATCTGTCCAAACAGGAATACATTATTAAAAAGCACTTAATGTCTCAAGAAGCACTGCAAGCAAGTATTTCATATGGAAATCTGCTTCCGTTTGGATGCTACTAACACACACACACACACACACACACACACACACATACACACACCATTTGATACCTTTACTATTACTATTTTAATGACACACACACACACACACACAAAATTTGATACCTTTACCATTACTATTTTAATATCTTCTTTCCTGTCTTTTTATGGCAAAATGTCTCACATGCTTGGTTGTTTTACAATGCCAGATACCTCTGCAGGCTTCTCAGATCATTGCCACTTGACCCAGTGTCAGGAGAAAAGTAATGACTGGAAACTGCAATGAAAGATTGCAGTGCATTCCTCACTGTAACAGCAGCATGTTGATGTAGAGTGTCAACACTTTTGTACAGGACTTTTATGGCACTGTTAGCATATTTTCAACATCATTTCTATATCCCACTCTTTACATGATTTGCTGTATAGTGCTAATAGTCATAGTACTGGGCTAGCTGCTTATGCTAAACTTGCATAATTTATTGGTAAATAGAAACATTTTTTAATCACCCTGGCATGTGTCCTTTAATTTATTTATTTTCTTCTGGGATACTGTAAGTTGCTTGAATAAGCCAGTTGCCTTTTTCCCTTTCCCCACAATGTTGTCCTCCCCCTCCCTAAGTTATTCAGACATTCTCCTCACATGTCAGCTCTACATGCAAGGAAGTCAATATGGATGACTGAACTGTGTTGTTTGTCACCACTGTCATCATCCTCTCTACCCATGCAGTGACATTGTCTGCAAAGGAGAGCCTCCTTTATCTGTGGAGGCTCCTCTGCAATTTTAAAGGACCAGAAAAACAGGGTGGTAAAATCTTGAGGTAAATCTTCAGGAAGTATGCAGTAAGTTGTAGCTTGTAGACAATTGCTCTCCACATGTATAGGCAAGGAAATCACACCACAGAGGAGACCTACCGTGCCCATGGCCACTTAGCGCAGGTGTAAAGTTTATGTGTGAAGAAAACACTCAAGGAAGTCTTCCTGTAAAGTGACATTTCAAAGTTTTGTGGCCGCTTGCAGGCTCACCCCACTTTGCCAAGAAAGGTTGGCTTTTTCTTTTAATGTGCAAGCCCAAAGAGTTCCTGAATATTTGGAGGTGACATCTTCCACTTCTTCTAGAGAATGTTTCTACCTATTGTATATCACACTGAGATTCCTGGCAGGCAGATGATAAATAAACAGAGTGAAGTAAAGAAACAGACATGATACTTGGCCACCTGATTTTTTTATTCATTCATTCATTCATTCATTCATTCATTCATTCATTCATTCATTCATTCATTCATTTTGTAGATGTGGCTTGACTCTATTCAGTCTTTCAGTTTCTTTTTCATTTATTCTTCGGCTCAAGAACTGGTGAGATGGCCATGGAACATGGCTGTTTTTGAGGGTGTGTGCCAGAACAGTAGTTCCCAACCTTGGGTCCCCAGATGTTCTTACACTAAAACTCCCAGAAGCTGTGCTGGCCAGGATTTCTGGCAGTTATAGTCCAAGAACAGATGAGAACCCAAGGTTATGCTTTCAAATAAACATCTGAATCCTTGGCACACTATTGGATTGTTTAGAAGCTAGTTAGAACTTCTTTCAAATCTGGGGTGCTGCTTTGAAGAGAACATCGAGCTGGTGCTCCTTAATCCAAAATCGTCTGCCTAGACATGCAGGAGGAAAGAAAGGAGGAGAGGTGAGGGTGGGTGCCTCAATCCGATGCTTTTCTTCAGGTGTATTGAGATCAGTCCATATGGTGCTAAATCCTGGCTTAGTGCTAAGTGCAAAGTAGCCTATGATTGGGAGATCTGGAATGTGGTGTCATGAATATGCTGCTGACAAGCTAAATAAATGCCAGCTTCTAGCCCACAATGTGGACAGGAGAGAAAGTGAAATGATTTTGGAGGGAGCCATCGCCTGTTCTGATATTTTTCAACCTGGCATTTCTGTGTGCACAGCATATTGTTTCACTCAGCAGTCTGTTAGAATGAAATTCATTTCAAATCGGAGCATTTTCCGCATTCATAGTTCGTATTTACATTTGTTAAGGTTAATAGACCTGACAACCTTTTTCTGCTTCCCATCAGGGAACATTTACTGACAGGATGGTGGTTGCAGCTGCAGTGCTTCTTCACACACCAAAATGTGCTCCTTCTTCTTTTATGTTATAAAAGAAGTGCAGCACACATAAAACTTAGATGTTACAAAGTATGAAACACAAACAATAGTGTCTGGCTGCCTTGCTATGCTTTTGTTTTCTGTTATTCCACAGCAGGAATTATCAATACCTCAATTTTAGCTGTGTATGGCCCCTGCATCTCTATGTGTGCCCCCATGACATGGCAATCATAGTAGACTCCACTGCCATCTGTGCTACTTGTATCAAGACTGTTTTTGCTGTGCTTTTTCACCCCTTCCTATGATTTCCTTTAGCGACAGAATGGAATTAGACACACTGCCTTGAATTCTTCCCTGCAGGAATATAGTCTGGTACCTTCAAGATGCTGAATTGCCTGCTGAATTTTGGTAGCAACAGTAGCAGTGGTAAGGTCCTTTTTTATGAAGGAAAGTCCTCAATTTGAACTACTGCCAGAGGGTATCTATCTAACATTGCTATCAAACATTTAATTTGTAGCCTAGAGTATCAATAGCTTCAACAACGTTCTTAATTTCTTTGAGTTAATAAACAGTTGAATTCCCAACACAAATGGATGGCATCACGAACTGTCTACTTCAATTGGCTCTAGTTTCTTCTGAAACCATCAATACTTGATCGTTCTGGCCAACACCCAAAATTGCTTAATTGGATTTCTTTCCCTCCCTTCCTTCCTGAAGGAAGAGGCAGGGTCAATAATTCTGTTCCAAGGCACAAGCTTATCAACCATTTCCATTCGCTAGTGGAATTTCCACAGTTAAGGGAGAATGCTCTCTTTGTAAAAGAGAAGTGAGCAAACCCATTTTCTCCTCATATTCCCCTCCTAGTTTTACGAATCCAGCTCAGGAATCTGGCAGCTGCAAATGTTGCATTTGGCCAATTTTAGGTTTTCAGTATTCATTCCTGAAATATATTGCTTTCTGGCTTCTCTTTTCTCTTGCAGTTGGCTCACTTTAGTGACATTTAAGAATGTCTAAAGCCAAGTATCTGCCCTTCCCCATCATAAAGGTTTTCGTTCACCATAATTTGATACTGATTTGTTTTCTGCAAGCAAAAACAGGAGGCATAAAAAATATCTATCTCTATTTTTTTAGAAGGCCTGACTAAAGATCATAAAAGCCAGCTATTCTCGTGATTGCTCTTTAGCCTTTTTTGACAGATGGTAACACATTCTGTCCAGAAAGTGACATCAATAAATGTCCCCACAAAAAAACAAAAAACAAAAAAAGGACAGATAGGTTCTGGGATCAGTATGATTAAAACTGCTTTGGGGAAATTCACTTTATAGATATAGATGGCAGAAATGGCATGAATAAAACAGTGTAGGGTATTTTTGTATATTTGCAGATTATCCCATCAGCTTCTCTGTTTTGTAAAATTTTACTGTTTTCCCAATTAGTTGATCTTCTTTCTGCTAAAAAATAAAATAAAATCCCCTGGGGCAAAAGACAGAAAAGATTCACCATGTTGTTTGATTGGTAATGCTAAGAGATATCTGACTGGAAATGTCCTTAGATAGAATGGCACACACATACACACTAAAGTAGTAGCACATTGTAGTTGGTTTTTTTTTTTGTTTTTTTTTTGTATTTTGCATTGGGGGAGGAGGGCTGTAGGCAGAACAAATTGTGAAGGCTTGTCAGATGCGTGTTGAGCAAAACAGAGTGTTGTCCTTGATCTGTAACTCTCCAGTGAGCCCAGCTAGCTATCGCTTTTGTGAGCCATACCGGCCTGGAACACCATGTGGAAAACTCTGGCTTGCTATTGTTCGTCCAAACTGTGTTACTGCTGAATAGCTGTTTAGATTGCAGAGAAGCTTGACTGTTCCAAGGGTTGTCTGGAAGCCGCCAGCCAATCAGCCAATCAATCACATCCCCAAGAGGATAATGCATGAGCTGCAGCCACATTAATTTCTCCTTTATTCTCCAACGCCTCTAAGCTAGAGGATAAAAATATGAAGGAAGGCAAGAAGCTGGGGCTGGAGAAACAGGCATCGGCACTTTGTGGGAGGGAGTTTTACTGCCACAGGGCTCCATTACATTGAAACCAGAGAGGTTTCTAATCATACAGAACAGGATTTTCCTCTTTCCATCCCACAGCCTATATACCATCAGTTGATAGGAAGCTATCTTAAGCGGAATAGGGTTACCCAAACACATACATGCACATACATACAAACCATATATACACACTTCAGACACAGTCTGATACAGATGCATACACATAGACATAGACATACACATATGCTATTTCAAGATGCAACAGGCACTTTTTGAAGGTAGTTCCTGCCAGAGCTAGCTAGCCTCACGCTCCTTGTCTCAGTGGTGAAGAGTTTGGTGAGGCGAGATGGCCTCCATGGGAACTTCTGAAGTCCAGGTGGGCAGGTCTCAAATGCTGGAGGTAACACAATATTCCTCTAAATCCACTGGATAAAGAATACCAGAGAGAAGAATACTTGTTCAATTCAGAATAGACATGCAGCCATACTTTTAAATAAAAATTCTGGAAATAATTGTATATTGTGCTATTTATTTGTTTGTTTGTTTGTTTAGGCCTTTATACTCTAGCAAGGTTCTGCCACTAGGAAGGACTTTAGTGATGAGGCATCTGTGCCCCAGCTGAAGTCTCAGAGGTTTCTTGTTCTTCTCTAGATTTCCGGGCAAAGAGACAAATGTCAGGACCAATGACACTGGAAGGAGAGACAGTTTGCTCTTTGTTTGTAAGGTGGCTTTAAAGCCCTAAAGCTTACCTGTTTTGTACAACAGAATTTGTATGTATGAGATGCGTGTGAGGCAAGTACGCCACTAAGCCAGGAGAAGGGGGCATTATTGGGAGAGAGCTAGTGGGTTCATGCCCTTGGGGCTATTATGTCATGTAGAAAAAGGCAGAACGTGGCGTAATTCTGGGGTGACTTGTGAGCCTCCATTTTGCATGTGTCATGGCTGCAGCAGTGTAGGATCTTAAAGAAAACTCCTACGGACTGATGGTGAGTCTATCACAACCACCACCACCGCCATCATCAAGATCAACACCAACACACACTCTGGAAATCTCCTCACATGGTATATGTAGTGTCAATAATGCCATGTGGGGATGTGAGCCCAAGTCGGAATGGTAGCAACCACTGCAGCTGCAGGATGCATTTTTGCTACATTGTTTAGACACAGAAAAATGGTTATTGCTGTTTGTATAGCTCTGAGTAGGCATTTTACTTGGTTAGCTGGCTTTTTCTAGGATATTGGGTCTCTTTATTTGGCCTGCCTTCCAAAATCAAGGATCCACTCCCTCTGATATCAGAAAGACACATATGGTCATGGCAGGTTTTGGCCTGAAATCTCAAGAAATTGGATGCTGCTAACTTGATAAACCTAAAAAGGATATATCCCTGAGAAAGGGGATGTGATTTGATCAGGATCTGAATGACCATACATCCATTTAATGAAGTCAAAAGATCTCCAACCCCATACTAGTCACTATACCTGCAAGTACATGTAGGTAGTTGCAGTGGAGACAAACATAACAGTTTGCGGAGATTTGTGACTCTAGTTTCCTGGGTACAATGAATCCACTCCAAGTCTTTAGCATCCATGACTTCCAGGTAGTTCTCTCTTGAAGATATCACTATCCTCTTTGGAATGTTTGGTAGAAATATGAAACCATGAATTCTGCATTTTGGGACCCATTATGTTGTTCTGCCTTATACATGATTTTTTTTTCCGGACAATAGCTCCCAGAATCTCCAAATTCCATTTTTGGACAATAGTTTGCAAATCCTCCAGTTAACACGGCCACTGGTTACGCCTTGGAAATTGTAATCCCAGAGATTACAAATGGGCTTGTCGGAAAATTTTTCCACCTCTGCAAGTGGCCCAGAATGTCTCTCTGAATGTGACATCTGAATGTCAACATAAGTTTTGCCAGGGTGATGCAAGAAGTTCCAGATGTTTGCATTTATGTTGGCTGCTCCTCATTCATGCATTGCGTTTTCCCTCAGAGACTGGTTAAGGCCCAAGACTGAACATGCCCGAAGCTGTAGATATTAAGCAGTCTACTCCTTGGCAAGGAGATGGCATGAAAAATGATGACAGAGCAGGAGATAGCATCAAATTGACACTGAAATATACATAGTGATTCAGCACAACAGGAACTGTATTTCTGTTGTAATTACTGAAATAAAACTGTAGGTCAGCTGAGGATAGATATTTATTGTTTGGAACAGGAAATCTGGCTACCTTGAAGGCTGATTAGGTGAAATTTGAAAATATTTATCTTTTATCCAACTTCTTTCAATGTTTTAATCTTGTCATGAGTATGGTAGAATAACTTTTCTAGCATATTAGGGGAGAGCCTAATCTTTCTTTCTTTTCTTTTCTTTTCTTTTCTTTTCTTTTCTTTTCTTTTCTTTTCTTTCTTTCTTTCTTTCTTTTTCTTTCTTTCTCTCTCTCTCTCTCTCTCTTTCTTTCTTTCATATACTTTCTTTCTTTAATATGCATGCAATAAATTCACATGTAGCTAAATCATTTAGATGTACTGTACTTTAATTTTCTTTTCCTAAAATAATACATTTACCATACCCAAGAGTCTTGATCAGTATTTTGCCACGTGCCTATTCAAATATAGCTGAGAATGTAACATGTAAATGGAGACATGTGGTATGGGACACACAATGATTTCCATGAATGTAGGGGCTATAAATGTAGTCAACTGTCATACAAGCCAAGATGGATTTTCACATATATCAAGAACTTTACTGAAGGTGACACATAGTCTCCAGGAATGCTCCATGATGCTTGACTAGCTGCAAATTAATTTCTAGATGATGCACATGTTTAATAATTTTGTTCAGATAACAGAGTCTTTGAATAGATAAGGTCTTCCAGACAGCATGACTACAATGCTATGCACATTTGCCAGGGAGTGAGTCTCACTAAATATAGTGGAGATTAAATTAAGAGTAAACATGCTCTTAAGTGGATTCCTTCATTTGCCTGGAGTCAGTGCCCTCATTTATTAAACTTTATAGGTCTGAAAGATGATATGCTTGTCATTATTTTGGACATAGGTTGCTTGCAAGAGAGCTACATATGCATTACGTCCATGAGAAGCTAACAGGTTCGTTATCTCAGAATTAATCTGCAGTGCTTACAAGTGAGCCCATGTGAATTCCTGTTTTTAGATTAAAATACCTGAGATCAAGAAGCTGATGTTACTGAGCCATTGGCCATTCCCTCTTTAAACACTGCTGCAATTAATCATCATTTGTCTCTGTCTAAACTAGGTTAAAGAACTCCTTGAATAGTTGCTATAGAGATTAAAGGTCGGTTCCCATATTGCAATCAAATGTTTACTTGCAGATTTAACAAATCCCAGACCTACTAGTATGAGCAATGGTGTGTCTCGGTTTTGGTCTTTGACTTTCTGCATTGGTGTTGCCTTGATATTGCACATTTACCCTAATCTATTTCCTGTAATTTATTTAAAATACTGCACAGCTGCAGGTGACCTCAAGCTTGAGTGAAAAGCTGGTGAAGGTAGAGTTATGCTCTAACCAGATCATTTCACCTTCAGCTGTTGTTCTGCCAGCAAAAGAAAAGTTATAGGCTTCCTGAATTTTTTTTCTCTAACAGAAAAAAAACTGTTTACATGAGCAATTTTGAAAATACAAATGGCTTGAGGGAAAAGGGTTAAGTTCCTTTTCTCCAGCTACCAAACTTCTGCTCAGCCTTGGAGCCATCTTGGCACTGAAAAAAACATGAACACCCACTGAGAAAAAAAAGCAGAGTTAGAAGCAACTGAATAGAAAACAACTAGTTATCTTTGTATTGTAACAGTGAAGGTACATTGTAGTGTGACAGTGCAGCTGTGACTTTTTACTCACATTTCTATTTGAGAGCATGTCTGCTTAAGTCCATGGGGAGGCTAGTGTCCTACAAATGTATGGACAACATAATGGTATATGAAAGAGAAGCCTTCACAAACAAATCTCCTGAAAAAAATGTTTGTTCCATAGACATATATTAAGCATGAGCTGTGGTGGACTAGAGATGACTTCATCAGGTAGGCATATGTATGGTTGTAAGTGGAGGTGGGTGCTGAGAAGGGCAGGAATTGCAACGTATTAAGTCAGAGAGAACTGAAATGCAGAAAATAGTTATCTCTGTCATCATTTTCTTTATTTCATGCCCCTCTGGCCTCACATGCATTTCAATCACTGTCATTCTCTGGTTGTGTAATCATGGCTCTAATTATGGGCACTGATGTTTCTTGCGTTGACACTTTTATCTCTAGCACAGTGCTTCTCAGCCTTGGGTCCCCAGATTTTTTTGGACTACAATTCCCAGAAATCCTGGCCATTACAGCTAGTGGTGAAGGCTTCTAGGAGTTTTAGTTCAAGAACATCTGGGAAGCCAAGTTTGGGAACCACTGGTCTAGCATATCATGAGACTGTGAAGCAAACTTTACACATACTGAATTTATGCTACAATGCCAGCTAGTGAGACTGGCCCTACTGGTGGCCCTGCTGGGAGTATAAACTTCCCAGTCAGGCCCAGGCCAATGCCCACACATCATTTTAGGGTTTGTCTTTACTGCTCCAGATTCTCCTCTGTGCTTCCCCATAGCTTGATCCTCCAAGCCCTTGACAGTATTTTCGAGGAAGATTGCAACTGACAGGTATTTATTATCCCTGAAGCAAAGTGACAAAATCTTGCCAGATTATGAGACTGCTCTTCTTTATGGATACCCACCATGGGTTCTTACCATGCTGGACTAGATCAGGGGCAGGCAATATGTGCCATCCAGATCGTAAGTGCATCCCTGTGGTACCCCTGCCTACAAAATCCATCCTTTTGGGGGGGGGGAATGAAAAAGAATTGAGTCAAGAATTCCCTGTGACTTCTGGGGGCATCGGGATAATTCTGCCATGTTTTAAGAGCTCCCCTTACATTGCTGAGTTTCCCCACACTTTCCTAGTTTTCTAAAAAGAAAAAAAATTACCCCGGCAACTACAAGGGGATTTTTAAAATTAGAAATCATAAAATGTTGTTTTCATGGTTGGCATCATAGGAGCAGGTGCAGCCAGCCCTTCAAGACCTCTGGAGGTCGCCCAGCCCTGAGCTAGATTGTCAAAGAATGTTAAGAAGTGGAATATTAATGTAATTATGACAGTTTATTTACACAGCACCATCAATGCACATGGTGCCTGAAAGCACAAGCCAAGAAAACAGCCATTACCTGTGACATTGCATTTAGTGGAGGTGTGAAGCAGAACGCAAAGGTTGATGTGGTCTTATTTAAAAATAACATTGGACTGAGGTCCCAGTAATCACTAATAGATAAGTTTGGTGCCTCGCATAACGATTTTAATTGGTTCAAAAAAAACGTTATGTGAAACATCGTTATGCGAAACACCATTTTCCATAGGAATGCATTGGAAACCGGTTAATCCGTTCCAATAGGCACGGATTGCCGTCCTTAAGCGAAAAAACCCATAGGAAACATCGTTAAACGATACAATGTTTCCTCCATTGGAATGTATTGAAGCTGACTCAATACATTTCAATGGCTTTGCGAAGTCAATTTTTGCAAAATTAAGTGTGTCATAAAAGGGTCAAAAATGGTTTTAAATGCTTGGATTAGCTTCTGCACCCTCTAAAACGGATGCAAAAGTTAATTTGGCTTTGATCTGACTTTTCGTTAATTAATGGTGAATTTTTTCCCCCCAACTTTTGACAGCTGTCAAAATCTGACAGCTCCATTATTTCCTATGGGGGAATACGGGCCGAAAAAAAAATTAACCATAAATTAACGAAAAGTCAGATCAAAGCCAAATCAGGTTTGCACATGACTTAGGGGGTCCCCTAACGAATCCAAGCATTTAGAACCGTTTTTGACCCTTCTAAGACACTTTTTTAATTGAAAAAAGAAACATCATTAAGTGAAGCAGGGGACCTAAAATCGCATTCGTTATGCGAAGCATGGCCCCAAACTTCGCTAAGCAAAAATCGCCCATAGGAAACATCGTTATACGGTGCATATTATTTTCTAAAAAAACACATCGTTATGCGAATTCATCGCTAAACGAGGCAATCGTTAAGCGAGGCACCACTGTATCAAGAATCAGATCCACGAAGAGGAAACAACTAGGTGTTGTTCTCTGGGAAGGATTGTTTTTCAGACATACAGCAAGAGCAGTTTAACTCTCTGCCCTTCAAACTCTTTGTCTTTTTGTCTGGAATGATGACATCTCACTGCTTAGCTGTTTCCCAAGGGGAACATGCTGGCTTTTCAATATTTATGGAGCTTGTTTTTGTTGTCTATTAAGAGCTACATGGCCGAGATGAGAAACCTCATGGTTAATATGAGCTGCTCAACTGCATGTGGCAACTTCTGAACTTGCATTTGGTCCAGAAACATCTTAGAGTGGGGATGGCAGCTGGGAACATGTCAGATGTTTTTGGGGCAGGGACTCCCATCATTCCTTATTACTGGTTATACTGGGTAAATCTGGCCAGAGTTTTAACTCAACAGCATCTGAATGGTCACAAGTCACCCTGTACAGCTCTAGAGAAAACTTGCATACATGGTTCCTCAAGAAGGAAATTGTATTTTCAACCTTCATTGGTCTCAAACAAACTAAGACACTTTTGAAAGTACACTCCAAACTTTTCCTTGTGCCACATAATGGCTTCGAAAGGTGTGCAAACTTGTCTGGTCCAAATTTTATCCATATATTTGTCGTGCAAATTAGGACCACTCTGCCCCAAACTGATTTGGAGATGACCTGCATGCAGTTGTTCTCAGGTTTGTGCAGTATTTTTATGTTTCCAGATTGGGAGGGAATAAAAAGGATAAATATGCAGAAAATAGGGGGCTGTGGCCTGAGATGAAGACTGCTATACAGCACCTTCAGCTTTGGCAGTTTGGTGGAATCTAGTGCACATCGCTAGAGCTTTCCTTCTTAGCATTTTGCTAAGACTTTGTTTTTTTCACCTCCAGACTTTTTGCCTAGACTTTGTCCTCTCCCCCTCACATTGGAACACATGCATATTTTTAATTCAACATTAATAACACAAAGATTCTAATTTGAACTTCTAGGAGAGTTCGACATTCAAAACTGGATGCCTGGATGATCAATCTACCAGTTTCACTCTCTCACCATTACATTTTTTTTTAAAAAAATCTCAAGTTGTTTGCATTCCAATTACTGTATGAAGAAATTTGACTGCAGGAGAATTCTCATGCATCCTTAGAGATTTTGTCAACATTAATCCTAGAAAGACAGAATGGCTATGAGGTCTCTTGTGGTGGAGGCCATGCTGCTTAGTATCAGATATAAGTGACATATTTGCTGAGTGAAATTCTTAACTAGTACATATTCACAAGTAACTTACTGGTAAATAGATTCTAGCAACTTTTCTAGAGAAAATAGCCAAAGCAAAAAAAATTGATTAATACTGAAATCATTACTTATGGCCAATTTTGAAAACTGAAACAAAGAAAGAGTTGTGTTGATTGTCGCAGCTACCTTGATGAATGCTTAGAAAGTACAAACTGTTCAAAAGCAATTAAAAGATGAACCTGTAGGATAAATGTAGTGGTAAAACACAAAAAATACAAACTGGTTTAATAGTGTCCCAAAGGAAACATGGGAACTCTAGTTCTCTCAGAAGTGGGCCAGAACATGTGTACAACTGTGACAAAACTGTAATGCTAGCGGTTTTCTGTGAGGATAATCATAGCAAAATTAATAAAACTGTATTCACTTTTGGTATAGAAAACAACCAAAGAATAGCAGTTAGCACTCCTGTACAGGCTCAGAGGCAGTGGTTTGCCTCCAAATCGCTATCAGGAATGTTTTTACTGCAACAGGAAACATCACATGAAATACTCACCTCTGGCAGCAGCTGCCATGGAGAGGATGCTGTGAGTGGCTGATAAAAATCTAGAGGAGTTGGAAGCTGCAGGAAGCCTCTTTCGTGTGCAGGCAAGAGACAGCATACAGTTGGTTGGCCATTATGTAGGGATTTTTCTAAAAGGTTGCTGCCAAAAAGTATACTGGGCACAAAGGAGAGTGAAGAAGAGAAGCACAATTTTGGGAGAGAGCAGGGAGGCAAGATTGAGATTCAAGCAAGGATTCAAGCAAGAGCTGTACAGGAAAATATTCCATAGTTAAGACCACTGCTTATTTACCTAATGAATGTATTTATATCCCATCTGTTAGGGTACGATATTCGCAGATGAGTGTATCAAATAATGAAATAATTACCAACAAACTCTTTGACGAAAATCCTGTTGGTTTAAACCTGCATCAGTGGAAGCCAATGATGTCATCATCCAGCACTGATAACATTCAATTTAAATTAATCAAAAGCTTCATATCCCTTTGTTTCAGGATTAGAAACAGGATTCCCTTTTGGCCCTGGAGAAGCATTTTGGAGCCTAAGGACTGGGATGGGTGGAGTGGGGAGGAAGCCTTTATTAGTTTTTTTTAATTAAAATTTTAACACAAAATCATCAAATCAAATAAACAATTAACACTTACTAAACATAGTAACACGCATGCCACACCAAGACCAGTTGGGAGTTGCAACCATTTACCTCCATGGAATCCTCTTACCCTTCCAAAACTGTAAAGACTCTTGTGAGGGAAGCCTTTAATAGCCAGAAATTACTTTCTGATAGCCACCTGTAAAGTGGTGCCTCACATTACGATGTTAATTCATTCCAGCGAAATCGCTGTAGAACGAAAACATCGTAAAGCGGAATTAAAAAGCCCATAAAAACACATTAAAACCTGTTTAATGCATTCCGATGGGCTTAAAACTCACCGTCCAGCAAAGATCCTCCATAGGGCGGCCATTTTCGCTGCCTGTCTTGCGAGGAATCCATCCCTAAACACAGCGGGGAGCCATTTTATTTACCCGACGGCCATTTTGAGACCGCCGATCAGCTGTTGGAAAATCGTCGTTTTGCGAAGAATCGGTTCCCGAAGCAGGGAACCGATCATCCCAAAGCGAAATTCCCCCATAGGAAACATCCTTTTGTGATCGCAAAACGTTCATCGTAATGCACTTTCGTCGTTAAACAGAGCGATTGTAAAGCGAGGCACCACTGTATTCCCAATCTTACTGGCAAAAATTTGGTAGTGAGCTTTTACTCTGGGACGTGGTGGCGCTGTGGGCTAAACCGCAGAAACCTGTGCTGCAGGGTCAGAAGACCAAGCAGTCGTAAGATCGAATCCACACGACGGAGTGAGCGCCCGTCGCTTGTCCCAGCTCCCGCCAACCTAGCGGTTCGAAAGCATGCAAATGCGAGTAGATAAATAGGTACCATCTCGGTGGGAAGGGAAACAGCGTTCCGTGTCTAAATCACACTGGCCATGTGACCACGGAAAGATTGTCTTCGGACAAACGCTGGCTCTATGGCTTGAAGAGCGGGATGAGCGCCGCCCCCTAGAGTCGGACACGACTGGACAAAAATTGTCAAGGGGAACCTTTTACCTTTTACTTTGAAAAAGTTCCCCTTGTCCAAAATCTCCCAAAGCCTTCCTCAGAGCAACAGGGAGCCCTAGCGAACCTAGCTGCTGGGTAGTAGGGGCACTAAGGAAATTTTTGCTTAATTTAAATTAAATGTTACCAGCACCAGACAATGGCATAATCAACTTCTGTTGACATACATGTACACAAGAACATTTTGCCCATTGATTAACAACGGGAAGAACAATATTAAGTGCCAGGTGGATAATTAGCCACTTCCAAAACCCATTTCCAGAATTCAGCAGGACAGGGAGGAGCACTTTTGCTGGAGGGTTCACTATCACTAGGAAATCCTATTTTGCAGCTCACCACCACCAGAAAGAAACAGCTGTGATCCAGATGCAGTATATCCATAAAACCCACCCACCTTCTTGACAGAGGTCTCTCTCTGCTCTCTGCTAACACCTACCAGCCAATGGATCTGGGAGTTTGGATTCTTCGCTAAAACAGTACCTAAACAAAACCAGAATAAATTAAAGAGCTGAACAATAAAAAGCTACCAATGTTTACTTGACTAGCTTGATTCACTTAGACTCCTTGTAAATATCTTCAAACCCAAATTGCCTAGTGAATTAAATTACACAGGGCTTTTAATACTCAGATTGACCACATTTGTTGTGTTGGTTCACTCTAGAAGTGATCGTACAACCAGAAAAAAAGGACCTCAACTACGAGCTTTCATTAAAGACTGAGGTCACAGAAGTAACCTAGGCTGCTATTCTATACACATTCATCTGACAATGATGTCAGGTGGGGCTTGCTTTTGATCACATTCATGTAAAATTGCTCTTTCCACCACTTTGCAAGAATATTCAGTCATAAAAACATTTAAAAAATGTCAGTAGGGGGGATAAATGCAAAAAAGATAAGAAAGTGACTCTCCTATCACCATGGATACAAATTGGGAAAGCCATTAATCAGACATTAGTGCAGACACATGTCTATGGAAAGCAAATTCATTATGGGCTGCAGTGGGCATTTGCTTGTTTATCCTCACATGCCAGGGCTTTAAACTAAAGATTAAAAATCGGAATGAAGTCTTTAGCAAGACATTTGCATTCAGGGTGAATGAATTGCCCAGGTGGAAGTGCCAAATCATTTTGCCACTCCTGTCTCAATCTTGTTATTGAAAAAGATGATGGAATAGCTGCCTTTGCACAGCGTTTGCCAAAGATGTCCCAGCTTCAAGCATACTTACTTTGATCTAGTAGAAAAGACTACAGACTTAATACGTGCGGTGGTTGTGCTTGTGCTGACAGAAATTTTGGGGTGCAACACTGAGGTGAGGAAACTAGATTTGCTTTTCACTTTTGTGGTGCAGTAGCAAAAAGAGGAAACTTGATCTGTAATTCCTGTGGTATAGCCTGGATGAAACTCCCTATGTGCCTGATAATATCTTTCCAAAAGGATAATGCACAAAATGCCCCATTCTGGCAGAGCAAAAAACATTTAAAGAGAAGAGTACTGCAAATAGTACTCAGATTATGAATAGGAAGGTGGGGGGGGGGACAAGAAATTACTGAGATCCATAACTTTCTCATCTACCAAAATTTTAGGCAAACACTGCCACCGCACTACCATAGTTGCAGGGATATCACAACCAATAAGGGAGTGAAACCTCTGTAATTTGGGTTTGGGCAAGCTGTGCATATTCTTTTTACTATAAACTATAATTTACATCAGACCCTGATGTCGGGAAAGTGTGAAGGCAAGAGGAGAAGTAGAAGACAGAGGATGAGATGGTTGGACAGTGTCACCGAAGCTACCAAAATGAATTTGACCCAACTCCGGGAGGCAGTGGAAGGCATGAGGGCCTGGCATGCTCTGGTCCATGAGGTCACAAAGAGTTGGACACAACTTAATGACTAAACAACAACAACAACAATTTACAGTGGTTTGCATATCTTGCTGTGGAGCCAGAAGTGGGGAGTCCAGTTTCCCATTGTCTCTCCCAGGAGAAGGGCCAGCCCCTATGACCTTGGGCAAGCTGCACAGTCCCAGGATGCCCCCAGAAGAAGGGAAAGGTAAACCACTTCTGAATATTCTTCACCTAGAAAACCCTGAAAAAGATCTCTAGAAGTCAGAATTGACTTGATGGCACATCGTGGTTATTATTATAAGTCACAAAGTACTGTTACAGGATTGTAAACAACCTGTTAAGGTTTGTTTCCAATGCAGATGTCTTTCTGGGATGATAGAATCCCACAGTTGTTCCTAAATATAACAGTCTTACTTTGAATTGATTCTTGCAGTCTCTTCCTAGTTGCTTAGTGCTTTGTTGTTGCTTAGCAACTATAGGTCATGCTCCCTAATCACGTCCACAGAACCCAGAAGTGTCTAGGGAGTGTGTTCTGAGTTGCTAGACAACTGTGAAGTGCTCCCCCCTCCAACCTGCCCTTACTTATCCCTCTTCCTTAGTTTGGAACAAAAAATAAAAATAAATAAATAATCAGTCAAACAAACCTGAACGATTGCAGAAAATAGCGTAACATGGCATACTCTGCTGCACACTTTTGCTTTTCCGTTGTTTTCCTTTCATTGGAGGCCTCGGTCTCATTAAGGTTGCCAGGTTGGCACCAGGTCATCATGGGGGGGGGCGCGGTAAATTCACTCCAGCTTTTAGTCAGACTTTTACATGGGCTACTCTAGGTGCTGAAGCTTAACTCCAAAAGATGTACAGCACCTTGGACAGCTCTGTTTAAATGCATAGAAAAGCCCAGGCTGGATTCATGACTTCCAGGACACAGGAGTCACTGACCTCCGGTGTCTTCAGGGATGCCACATGAAGAGAATGGTATAAGAAATCATCAACTATCTAAAATAACCAAATATCCAAATATGTGGAAAGAGATAAATGGTTTAAAAATAATAGATCAAAATCTGACTTGAATAATGGTTAACTGAAAAATCTGGACACTTACCAAATTATGCTCTTGTATTTGAAATAGTCCTGCACCTTTGTTTTCAGCTATAGTATAAATTTTTTTTGGGGGGGGGAGATTAATAAGGGCAGAGAAGCATAAAAGTTGGAACTCCTCCTCCCACCTAGATCTACTCGAATCACGCGTTCTAGCCAGGAAGAGGGCTGAGAGGCCTAACGCCAAGGGGGCATGGAGAGAAAGAACAAGAAACCGGGCCTGCTCGGCAGCGGCCCCTTGCCTTTGGAACAGCCTCCCTTCAGAGATCTGTCTGGCTCCCTCGCTGCGTGTTATTAAGAGCCAACTTAAGACATGGCTCCTTAGGCAGGCTTTCCCTCCTGTCATCACTTGATTATTTTTATCTTTTCCGCATCTTGAACAATATTACTATTGTTCTTCTCTATTTTATTATATCGCTTTTATGCCATTTTTACTGTTAGCCGCCCAGAGTAGACTTGGGTCTAGATGGGTGGGGTATAAATTTAATAAATAAATAAATAAAAAATAAATTCAGATTTAGCTCCTTGAAATCAGTGGAATTGATGATTTCATCATGACTAAGTTCTTCTGCTGGCAAAAGCAATGTTTTTTTTTTAAGTTAACTTCATTTTTTTAAGGGTTGTGGCACCAAGCAAAAGAAATGTGGAAATTGAGAGAAAGGTAGTCAGATTACTTCTGGAACCTACAGCTGCCAAGGCTCCTAAAGTGGAGAAGCAGTCAGGACACAACCCAAGACACAGACTGATTACAAAAATCATAGCTGATTTCCTGCCTTTGCTCCAGTGAGGTATAAACAGTATACATGGCTATCTTTCTCCCACCGGATCCTCATCTAAAACCTGTGATGTAAATCAGATGAGAGACAGAGTGACTGGCCTAAAGTCACCTTATGAATGAGCAGCCATCCAGGGAAATGAGCAAGCAGTTCTTTCTAGAACACCCTGGGCAAAAACTTGGGATTTGGGAACAGTAGTCTAATCATGTTAGTAATGAATAAATTCTTCTCCTTTATATTTCTTTTGTCCTTTTGTCAGTTAGTCATGGCAAGCCTTCTACTACTATAACACTCAACAATTTAAAAAATGGGCCTTGTCTCCATGTGATGCTGCTTGTTTGTTCTTCTGTCCATCCATTCATCTGTCCATCCATTCATCCGTCCGTTCATTCGTTCGTTCAATTTGTATTCCACTCCCATTAGTATTACAGCACTACTCTGAAAGGATTACAACACGTATAATAGAAAACAAAATTAAAACAGAGACATTAAAACCAGCAGCAACAACCCTAAAAAAAACAGACAGCACTGACTAATCCCCAGAGCAGATGGAGGAAAAGAGGGGAGGGAAGAAGAGGAGGGGAAGGAAAAAAAGGGGGGATCAGCTGGGTTGGTGTGGAAAGCCTCTCTGAAAATCAATGTCTTTAATTGCTTCCTAAATATCCAAGGGAAGGGGCTAGGCGGAGTTCCTCCGGAAACTGTTTCCATAAAATTGGAGCCACTGTGAAGAAGGCCCTACTTCTTGTAGAGGATTTATGAGCCTCCTCATGGTGGCTACTGAGAGAAGCCTCGATTGGGATGATTTGTGAGTTGGGCATATGACATTAAGGAAAGATGCTCCAACAAGTCTGTTAGGCCGGCTGGGGGGACGGAATTAACCGTGTCACTTTGCAGAGCCCTAGACCTTCCCAAGCCTTCACTCACAGCACACACAATTTTTGCAATAGGGTCAATTTGAGATGTAACATTGCTGTCTGAGGCAGAGTGTCATATGGCACTCCTTTCACTATCAAACCAAAGTGCATACTATCCAAGGACTGCCACATCACCCAGTCACATGAGGCAGAAAATCCCACCAACCACATTTTCCCATTCCTGGCAGAGGAAAAAAAATCACCTTCATAATAAATTAATTAATGCTTGGCTGCTTTTAATTACAGACCAGAGCTGCTGTCTGGAGTAGCTGGGTCATTCTGTCTTATGGAATAGCTGGCTCATCTTAACACACCAGTGCAGTCACAGACCCTCGATGTTTCAGATCCCTAGCATGCTAACAGCCTAGGTACATTAGCCAATCTACTTTAAATGAGATAACAGACATACAAGTAAGTTGTTCTTGTTTGCCTAATATCACATTTAAACTGGACTCTAGTATTGTTGGGACTGGGAACATGTAGAATTCTTTTAGAGCCACATTTATAGCACATGTTTAAACAAGTTTTCGTTGCTTCCTCAGTGCCAACTCAAATAAATTCCAAAAATTCCTTTAATATTTTGTTGCATGTTGCATACAATTCTCCAACATCATTTTCAAGAGAAGGGCATTTGATAAACATTTCAACAGACATAAATATATTCTTAGTAAAGCTACTTTACTTACTGATTTCCATTTCTGTTGGCCTCACACTGGATAGCTGCTCTAGTCTACCTCGTTGTTATGTTGAACTTGAGAACCCACAGGGAATAATAATATGGGAATAGTGTTTCCTTTAAAACTGTGGGGAAAAATAAAACAAGAACTAAAGGACAAACTAAGCTCGTTTCAGTATGCTGGAGTAAACAGCTGCACTTCGGCATAGTACCAGCCAAAATAATATTCATTCATTCATTCATTCATTCATTCATTCATTCATTCATTCATTCATTCATTGCCCAATTCATTTATTGCCACATTCTGGGCAGCTGTGACAGCTGTGCAGGCTTTGATCTTCAGTAGGAACTTCTGAGGTGAGAAATAGCTTGTGAATAATAAGATTACAAAAATGACCTCCTTGGATGTTAATGAACTAGTATTCCCATCATGTTTCACCTTTGGCTTTGTTGACTAGGCCTTGGAGAAACTGGAGGCCCTACAACATCTGGAGAGCAACAATCTGGGTTTACTAAGGGTTTACTCAACTCTAATGTCACCAACAAAATCAGGAGATGGTGAACTAACCTCAGTTCAGTACTGTAGTTCATTTTTTTCAGGTTGAGAAGATGCTAGCTGAGTCTTCCCATGTAACAAAATGGACATTTAGGAAATTCTTTCTTTCATGTTGGCATAACACTCTATGTGCCTGGGATAGTGAACAGAAAGAAGAACTTTAGCCCTCAAAGTTGAGTAAATTAGGTAAATTAAGCCTGCAAAATATAACCCCAAACTAAGACCTGCCTCATACAGTAGGTTCACAGTTTAAATCAAGGCATTAGCTGGATTGGCCTTGGAATCCCTTGTAGAAGATCTGGAAGAAGAAAGGATGGCTCTTTCGACAATGAGTCCCAGAGAGGCAGCATGACTGGTGGCTTCATTTGATCTTTATGGATATCTGTCTGGAGATGCTTTGTGTAACAGCAGGGACTGCTACAGGAATGAAGAGCCACCACAGAGAACACACACTTTGGCAACCTGTCTGTACAGAGTCCTTTTGAATTGCTCATTGAGTCTGGAAATTATTTTGACAATTTTCCTGCAGGAGTAGTAAAAAAAATGTTGGTGTGTGTGTGTGGCTGAGATAGAACCATTCCAAATGCTAACAGTCCCTGTTATTCAGAGCAGGGCCATGTTATGTAGCACATGAGGAGAGTCCCTTGCCTATCTTGGCCTTCGCCCTGCCTAGCTGCTTTGCTACTTTTCCTGCTGCTACTGAGAGTGAGAGCTTTCCCTAAGGCTAGGTGCGCATTTGATCAGACAAGCCAGCTGTACTCTTTCTCTAGGGAAGCCTTGTGTCTGGTAGGCCTGACACAAAACTCAGTTTTAAACCTGTAGCCGTTGAATCAAGAAACAAGGCAGCTGGGAGATCTTGCAGAGCTGCTACGTACATGGAAAAAGAGAAGGTACCTTGCCAAATGCATGGATTCTTGCCCTGTGGCTTTTTAGCCAGCAGTATGCATTTGAGATTTAAAAAAACCCAAAAAGGACAGGTTTATTGTTGGCTATGTTGAAAGGGTACAGGCAATTAAATAATAGTTTGGAGTGTCTAAGGGTATACAGGCATCTGTTGTTCTGTAAGGCAGCTCTGGAGTCACAAAGTGGAATTCTCTTTTGCTTGAACCTGTCAAGTGAAACTCATTATTTTTCATACATGCTGGGATGGGTTGGACTGAAAAAATTCTGAATGTGTGAGTTCTGCCACAAAAAAAGAAGCTGGAAACCTAAATAATAACAATCATTACAAACCAGTGGCTGTGCGTACATGCCGTTTTAAATCATTAATTGCAACATAATAAATCAGAATGTGAATGACCAGCAAGCTTTCATGCTGTCAGCTAAGAAAACAAATCAGGAAAAGGTGGAATTCAATGGTTTTCCAACACAGGATCCTGATTTCATGC